GATGGTCTGAATCTTGCACGCGAAGTTGACCCGGAAGGTTCGCGGACAATCGGTGTTTTGACCAAGGTGGACCTTATGTGCGTTTGGTACGTTTGAGAGTTGACTTTTCGCTGACGATTATGTAGGGACGCTGGGACGGACGTTGTTGACATTTTGGCTGGGCGTGTCATTCCTCTGCGTCTTGGATATGTGCCAGTAGTCAACCGCGGTCAAAAGGACATCGACTCCTCCCGTTCTATCCAGGCTGCTCTTGAACATGAGCGACAATTCTTTGACACTCACCCATCATATCGAAGCAAGAGTCAATACTGCGGTACACCTTTCCTTGCTCGAAAGCTCAATATGGTATGTTATCATTCTTCTTTCCTTTCTCTGAGAAGGACTCATTTTACACATCTCAGATTTTGATGCACCACATTCGAGCAACACTTCCTGATATCAAAGCACGTATTACAAGCCAACTGGGGAAGTACAACGCCGAACTTACATCTTTGGGCGGACCTCACGGAGAGGGTAACTCGGCGAACGTTGTACTTTCTGTCATTACAGAATTCACATCTGAGTATCGAACGATGATCGACGGTAACACTCAGGACCTTAACGTCAATGAGCTGTCTGGTGGTGCTCGCATCAGCTTTGTATTCCACGAATTGTTCCTCAACGGTATCAAGACCATCGACCCCTTCGACCAAGTCAAGGACGGGGACATCCGTACAATCCTTTACAACTCTTCGGTACGTTATTATTGTGAAAGCATATCTTTCTTTTCCTCATCCGCTCCACGTAGGGCTCTACGCCCGCTCTTTTCGTTGGCACCGCGGCATTTGAAGTCATCGTGAAGCAACAAATCAAGCGGCTAGAAGAACCCGCGCTTAAATGCTGCCAACTTGTTTACGATGAATTAATCCGGATACTCTCTCAATTACTCGCAAAGATTGTACGTCTTCATGCTTCCTTGTACGTGAGGTGTGCAATTGCTAATTCTCAAACAGCAAGCCTTTAGACGATACCCCGCATTACGCGAACGCTTCAATGCTGTCGTTGTCAACTTCTTCAAGCAAGCTATGACTCCTACGTCGAAGCTTGTGGCTGACTTGGTCGCGTGAGTTCGCAGAGCACTGTGTTTCCGTTGTCAATGGTCAATGACGATGTTTGTAGAATGCAGGCATGCTACGTGAATACCACCCACCCAGATTTCTTGAATGGTCATAGGGTGCGTTGAAATCGTGACTTTTCTGGGTGTCCTTATGCGATAATTGACTCACACCTTAGGCAATGGCTATTGTCCAAGATCGTATGAACGCGAAGAAACCAGCCGTCCAACAGACGGATCCGAAGTCGGGAAAGCTTGCGCCCGGGGCATTAAATAACGACAAGGACCTCGATGTTGACCCCAAGAAGGACGAGCCAGGATTTTTCAACTCGTTCTTTGCCGGAACTAGAAGCGCTCAGGTAAAGAAGAAAGGCGCAGCAGCTATGGACTCGGTGAGATGACTCGCCACAACGTACTTGATAATCGTACTCACCTGTCATAAAAGCCGCCACCGCAAATTCGCCCACAAGCCGCTCTCAACGAACGCGAGACAATGGAAACGGAAGTGATCAGTGAGTCGCAATCTAGGAAAATACAAAGGCCAATTTTTCTCACTTGTGGATGGCAGAGCTTTTGATCAATTCGTATTTCAACATTGTCAAGCGCGAGATGATTGACATGGTCCCAAAGGCAATTTCGCTCACGTTGGTCAGTTACACCAAGGAGACTTTACAGCAACAATTGTTGCAAGAATTGTACAAGCCCGAAGTTCTTGACGAGCTTCTGAAGGAGTCGGAGCACGTCGTCAACCGCCGAAAAGAAGTTGTTTCGATGGTGCAGGCACTGACGAAGGCAGAGGAGTGGGTTTCTTACCCTACTTCTTATGGATATTGACTAACTAATTCTCCCCCAGAATTGTAGCTGGCGTCTAAGATGCCTTAAATCCCGGTTCTTTCCTCTCGCCTGGTCTCTTACTTTACCACCTTGTATCTTATGCGTCTCCTACTTCGTTTCTCGCTTTATGCATTTCTTTGTTTCTTCAATACATGGACATCGATGGTACTATGGGAGGTGCGAATTATCGATCTGTGCTAAACTAAACTCCAAAACGCGAGATTATGAGTATCGGAAACGGAAAAGATCATTTGATCTGTTCAATCTAAGTGTTAGGGTGCAAATCGAAGGACAGCCAAAGAATCGACGAACATGATGTAGCTTTCATTCTCTGGGACTAGGACGAATATTTGGGAGAATTGGAGTGCATTTGCTTCGTCGTCCACCTGGTAAGTGTTAGTATTGCAGTTCACGAGTGCATACAGCCATATATGCACCTTCAGCTCTCCGCCCACGGACACAAGAATACCGGTGAACAAACATTGGACGGTGAAATCGTTGATGCTATGGGCGACCTTTTGGAACGGTAAACCCTAGAAGCAAGCGTTAGAGTACGAAAGTGAGAAAACCAAAGGGAACTCACTGTGATCTTCTCCATGATTTCCTGCTTCCCAAAGAATTTCCCGTCTTCGAACGTTAACATGGATTGATCATTCTGAAAAAGAGAGAAAGAGTTGTTTGAATAAAGATCAAGAGATTTAGTGCCACATTAAACTTGACTCACGTAGAGATTTCCGAGCTGCGCGACCTGTGATCGATCTGGGTTGTCGAAGAGAGAGTAGTAGAATTGAACGAATTGCTTTGCGATTTCTGTTCGCTTATTGAGCTCTGCCTCGGCAGCTGCACGGAATTGACTGGTCGCCATGAGGAGCAATCGAGAGGAGGAGAACAACAAGAGAGTTGTAGAGAGAGTTCAACTTGAAGCAGGTTCGAAGGCTGTATGCGCCGCACAGAGGGCACAGGGGATGGCGCTGCCGTATAAAGCCACGCTCCTTCCTTTCGTGGCCAACGCGGCGTGGTCGCGTGGTCGCCGTTTGCCCCTCCGTCGCCGACGTCGACGAGCTCGACGACTAGACAACACGATGGCGCCGTCCGAACCCCCAGGCGCTTTCAACCAGACGCGCCCGGGCATGCGCCGCAAGTCGTCCGCGCAGAACATGCTCGCGTCACTCAAGCCGTCCGGCGTTGGCTCTCCTGCGATCGTGCCCTCTGGGCCGCCCACCAGCAGCATCACGATCCCAGGAGGCATATTAAACTCAGGGATGGCTGGCTTCCCTCCGGCGACGACGCCCACGCCTACTGCCATGATGAACCGCGACTGGGACGCGCAGTCTTTGGCGTCCGAGTCGATTGCGTCCTCCAACGCACCGCTCAACCAGAATGGAAGCACGCCAGGCCAGAGTGCATCCGTCGAGTCGCTTCGGGACCTTGTGACCAAGCGAATGATTACACTCACATATATGCGGAACGTACACGAAGGGTGAGTCTGCTCCAAACGTGAATTCGTATCTGCGACTGGCGCAACACCGTAATATTCAATTATAATTCTTAGACGAAGCCATTGGTTCAATACTATCATGATGACACGCTCCGATATGGAGCGTGTTTTTAGTAACACTGCGATGAAGAAGCGGTAGGGTAACCGAGTGCGATGAACTGAGGTCCCAGCTGAAACGCGCTTTTTTCTTAGAACACATCGGTTCGCAATTCTGGGGATGTCTCTGTCAAGCGTTTTCGATATCACGAGTGCCACCGACCTTCTCAAGGGTCTGCTGAACATACTCAACGAATATGATCAATCCAAAGATGAGAACTACAGGCCGAAGATGGTGGGCTCCTCTTATGATCACGCCTGACGAGCAGATATTTTGACTTAGTGAACAAAGCAGCGCCTGTTTCGAACCTCCAAACTCCCAAAACGCCAGGCTGGCGGGGTCAACGACTACGCCATTTCCCTATCTGAATCCGGCGATACCTCATACCTCATTACACCTCACGTGGTTTGTTGCCTTCTATTTGTTAATCCATTCAGTGAATTTATTCGCTCCCAGCCATTCCCGCTTGATTACCATCAAACTCTTCTCTCGCTACTCGACATTCTCTCCGAAGTATACCACAAAATATCAAAGGTTCTCGGTCCATCTCAATTCCCGCACTCTGGACAATATATGATGGGACCCTTGGGTGCATTATCACCACATCCAGGCGTTTCAGATTTGTTTCAAGGCAGCGACGCTTCAGATTCACTGCTTGGAATCGCAAATGGGACCAATCTCACCAACGGAATCACAAGCGCAGCTCACATGAGTCCTCCAGCCGTTTGGACCCCAGCGCTCAGCGAGTCGGTTTTGAAGATCGACGGAAAGTTGAAGGTATCTTTGCTCTTTTCACCTGATTTCGGCTCAAGATACTCAGAAATTGGCTACTCAGAAATTAATTACTGAGCTCCTCAAGGATCTTGATACATTCGCGAGGAACGCGATTAAGGATGAACTGGCGTCTCTTGACCCGTTGCTTCGTAATATGGCTGTACCAGACAACGGGAGAGAAACGTATGATTTCGAGGGCTTTACTTAATCAAATGGATATGTGCGTCGAATGAATACGTGCGTCAAATGCTTTCAATACTCTCTGTATATCAGTGCTGCATTAGCTACTCTAAGTTAAGTCGATGGATGGCATTATTTATGAAAAGGGTGTTTTCGTCGTAAATGTCCCGATCTCTTCGTCGAGCTCTCAGTTTCAAGGCTGGCAACCTCTGGTCGATATTAGGTGGTTAACGTATTGGGATCGAGGGTGGAATGTATCATGAGCTTAGAAAACATGGCAATCTCGTTCACTCGGACTCGTTAGGTTCCCCCCTTGGAATCTTGGAAGAACATGGGACAGTAAAGCTGCGTCGAGAAAGGACGAGAGTTGGGTGCCCTCGAATGTACGCTATTCAGAGAAACGCGTTCAACCCAAAATTCGTCAACGTCTGTCCTGTGAAAAAAGCTCTGCTCAAATGTCGGAACTGTGTTCAAGTCCGACGGAATGGTAAAAATATGGCATCGCACTTTGACGGAGCAAAACCTGGTTCTTCCGAGGATCGAACTCGGGACCTTCGCATAACAACAGTTCTCCTTATAAGTACGAAGCTCTAACCGGCTGAGCTAAAGAACCTCGATCAAGGAAGTTCTACTTAGCGTATATGACTGGCGCAGGCTATTGCTTTTTCCCTTCTTTTTTTTCTGTTTGACCACGACGAAGTTCAGTGAAACCGCTCACCTCGACCACCATCAACAAGAACCCAAAACTGCTGTCCCGTCCGTGGTGCGATGTCAAATGGACATTTCTGATAGATCGGAAATCTTCATGAGCTCCGCAAAAGTGTGGTTCTCAATCGATTTGCCTTCAAGCTCGAGGCGTACAATTGAGCAGGTCCTGTTTGATCAGTGAGTGATTCGAGCCTGAGGCCTGAGAGGTCGCTGATAGGGTGACGTGCAAGTTCATTTCCTTCTGTTTCAAGAATCGACTGAGTTTACATCTCTAGCTGTAGTACGGTGACATGGCAGGTCATCAACGTTGGCTTCTCGATGCGCGCGCCCATCCTCGATGCTAACACGCAGCACGGTTCTCCTGGTTCGTCGAGCACAATAGCAATCCCGCATTGATATAAACGGCGCATACAATTGGGCTCATAGTCTGTTTTAAATTCACTGAATCGTCGTCACGACGAGAATGACACGCCTGTCAATGTGCGGAACAGGTGAGTGGGCTACGGCTTTTGGGACGTCTTTGTTCTGAATCGCAAATCACGAATTGCAAGCCCGAATTTCAAATGCTTCAACGTAAAGAGCTCTTATCGTTGCCTCGTTCCATCACTCTGTCTTCCGTCCTATGACAGTAAGGCTCAACAGCCATGGATACCGACTACGATGGTCGTAACCTGGCGGGTGACAATACGTATCCGCATCTCAGTGCTTCCAGCTTTTGACTTAAAGGTCACGCATATTATGGACTTTCTTGCGCATCGCTGGCTCGACTTCAAAACGCACCGTTTCGTAAGTTCTACTTGTGCCACATACTTTTACGACGATAGTACTGATATATCCCTAGTTTTATTTTCTACGTTTACAGACATGTCAGTTACGGATAAACAGATGTTGTCTGCTGGAAAGACATCGAAAACGCCGAGGATAGACATATCTCTCAAACTGAATTCTATGATCAAGGACTTCGAAAGGACGGGTGTCGCGCAAAAGTATACGACTCCTCGAGTTTCCAAGGACGAGGGGATAGAGACAGCTTATCGTATAATCGTTGCCGCCGTATGTGGGTACCGAACATTGTTTGGAAAGGATTGCGAAGAAGATGTACTCCTTGCTGCCCGTAGAATGAAGATGGAGGGCATGGAGGGCAATGGCACCGCGTCGTTCTGCGAAAAACATAGGATTGAATTTCTTGGAAATGCATCAGGGTTTTATGATAAACACAACCGCTGGATTGAGTTCAATGGTGAATCATCTTTTTTTGGTACATATCTCACTCAGTTTCAAATGATATGCCCAGATTACATCGAAGAAGACTTGCAACCAGAGACGAAGACTAAATTGCGCAAACTGATGACGGAGCCTTTGTCAGAATCAGATGAGCTTTCGGGTGACGTCTACGCGTTCGAAATTGAAGGTGACTCCAACTGCAACCTAGTTTTCTCTTCGCTGAGCTCTATTTTCTCCGTACGCGAAGATGACGCGGCGCAAGACGTATTCCATATAAAAGTCGGACGTACATGCGACGTAAGACAACGCATTCGGGATTGGTCGAACCAGTGCAAATCGAGAAAATTCACTATGAGGGGATGGTGGCCCAATGGTTTTCGAGATTGCGAAGACGAATCAGCAAATCTCAATGAACTTGGCCTGCAAGGTCCTTTGTGTCCTAGACTCGAGTCCCTCGTTCTCTGTGAGCTGAAAGATCGTGCGCTGTATCAACCACACTATCGATCGAAGGAGGGTGGAACTGGTGGTTGGGTAAACGATCTCGGTGCAAAATTAGCGCAAAAGAGGGGCCCATGCAAGGGTTGTAAGTGCAATGATTTTTTTTACCAGTCGGCGAATAGTCGATGGCTCATATTTTTCTTCAGGCAAACAGGTCCACAAAGAGATATTCACATTTCTTCGACCGGAAGGCGGGAAATACGTTGGGCAGGAATGGTCGCAGTTGGTGATGCCGGTCATCAAGAGGTGGGGAAAGTTTGTCAATATTCTCGACTCGGTATGCTCGACCCCGCTGAAAAACGGTCAGCGACGGGAGAGGGGCGCGGGAAGACGCAGACGCAGAACCAGTTTGTCTCCGTTGTATAGTGGTTCGGAAGTGGAAGAGGTTACGAGGAGACGTGAACCCAAAGGCACCCCACCCTCGTTGGATGGCGTTCAGGAGGAGGACACAGGGATAAGGAATTCCAGAGTCGTCTCGGCTCCGATGGATAGCGACGGCGTCGAGGAGGAGGACGAGGAGGAAGAGAACACGAGAACGTCGAGAAGAGTCGAATCCAGAGGCACCTCACCCTCGGTGGGCAGCATTCTGGAGGAGAAGGTTACATGGAGAATCGAATCCGGGGTCAGCACTCCTCCGTTAGATAGCGACGAGGAAGACGAAAGCGAAAGTGTCGAGGAGGAGGACGACGAGGAAGAGGAAGAGGACACGAGAACGTCGAGAAGATTCGAATCCAGAAGTACCTCACCGCCGTCGGAGAGGGATTCGGAAGAAGAGGCGGTTGCGGAAAGAGGCGAAGTCAGATTCAGCGTGTCCCATTGGAAAAAAGGTTCGCGAGTGAATAGACGTGAATCCACTGGCACTGGCAGCTCCGAGCCCATTCGTGCTCTAAATGCACATCGGGGAGGAGACGCGAGAAGGCGCTCGTTACCGTCGAAAATCGGTTCACAGCGGGGAAGGGACTCAAGAGAATCCAGACTCGAAGACCATTTTTCCTCCGGGTCAGATTTGAAGTCAATCACCAGGAACTACATGAGGGGGAGGTTTATCCGAATACCAGACGTCTACAAATATTCAATGTAGTTTATTGGACATTTAGTAATTCATCCAGCTACGCAAAGTATGTGCTAGCTAGATACACGTAGTACGACTCTACGAGACGTAGACGGAACGGTCTGTTCATGACTCGAAGCGACGTGAGAGGGTGGTGATCGAGATCAACTCGTGTTTGGCGAAGGCGTTGTTGCGGTGCGAATCATTTGCTTCCGACGTGCATTGTTCACGTCGCCACGACCGTCTCCTATGCTGTGAAAGCAGATGACTCTGGTCGTCTTTACTGCAAACCTCCCAGCCCTTCAAGAACGTCAATAAATAAGGGGATGTCAAAGCATTTGGCTCAATCCTGACAGCTACAAGATGCCCAAGTTCTGGGACCTCTTCAGAGATCACCGCACACCGGAGCAACGCGCGGAGGTCCATAAGTCGAACAAGCTATCGAGGAAGGAGAGCCCGCCGTCGCCGCGTCCTATTCCTCGTAAGGAGAACAGCGATGGAGGGAAAGATGCTGGCGCGAAACGGAGAGAGCAGTCGAAGGACATGCTCGGGATGATGGAGGATTTGTCGATCTCTCCGAAGAGCGGGGGCGGATTCGTTGGTGGATTTCAGTGCGTCTTCGTAGCCATTCCAGCTTATTGCAATGCTAATAATGAGATCAACTTAGATCGAGACCTTCGCCTTCACCAGTAGGCCCATCGACGTCGTATGCGCCTCCGCCTGTGTTCCCCGAACCTTTCGTCTCGCCCCCTTCCCCGGGTCCACTGCCCACCCCTCCTCAGATCGTTATGCCCACCCCGCAGACATATGCGCCTTACGCGCCAGGGAGCGAGCCATCGCTAACAATGCAGTACGCAACGGGCATGCGACTGGACGCAGGCTCTTCGGTACCACAATCTGCGTACAGCCCACCCCCCTCCGTACCCGCGCGTCCTATCTCAGCACCAGGCGGGGCACGACATAGTAGGCCCCACCTTGAAATGGACGTAAACGCTGTGCCGACGCCCCCGGTGTCCCCGCGCATGAACAGGGCGAGCTCTGAGCCGCCTACACCTGTATCTGCTGGGGCCAAGGCTCGGAAAGGACGGCGCGCGAGCGATGCAGCCAGCGACAGCAGCAGCGACGTCGAAACATGTGCCGCGATCACCAAGGCGGGCAAGCGGTGCAAGAATAAAGTGAAGACGCCAGCTGCACTGGACGTCATCGCACCCAGCCCGGGTGCGCCGGTCGTGCGTTTTTGTGGGGTGCACCAGAAGGAGGTGGTGTCCTCAGTATCCGGATTTTACTCGAAGAAAGCAGGAATGACGGATCAATGGGTGAAGTTTGATGGTATGTTGTGAACTATCTAGCAATTATCAATTGGCTAAATATCTATTCCAGTGTACATTCCAGAGAATTTGCAGCCCGACACGAAGGCTGCATTGCGCGTCGAGATGGAAAAAGCACGTTCTGCATCCGACGTCGAAGGCTACATTTATGCGTTCGAAATTCGAGGTGCGTTAAATTGTGAATTCCTACGATCATCTCACTGAACCTCTGCGCGTAGACCCTGATGCCCCCGACGTTTTCCATATCAAAGTCGGGAGGGCGGTCAATCTCACCAAGCGCATCGATCAATGGAGCAAGCAGTGCGGATCAAAAGAACAGACACTGCGAGGATGGTGGCCGGGCTTGGTCGATCCAAGTGAAACAAGTCTTCTGAAAGGACGCGTCGTCGCTGGCGAAAAGGGCGCAAATTGTCATAGGCTGGAGCGTCTCATCCACATCGAGCTGGCGGACCTCGTGTTACACCAACCTCATTATAATACTGCGAATGACGACAGTGACGAAGAGTCAAAGACGAAGAAGAGCAAGAAGGCGCGACTGGTGACTCCGAGAGGACCATGCGCTGATTGTGCGTGCTCGATCATTCTTTGAGATCTTTGTGATTGTGCTAATCTACATCTTCATGACAATCAGGCGGGACCGTGCACAAGGAGATATTCTCATTCCAGCGACCGAAAGGAGGGAAATATGTAGGGAAAGAATGGGAGAAACTCGTGAAGCCTGTGATTGAGCGGTGGGGGGAGTTCGTAGAGCTGTACGTCTAATGCGCTGTATACTATTTTATTTCTTACTCGGACAATTCGGAC